TACCAATAAGAGGTAATTTGTTCTTATCAAAGTAATGACTGAGATATCATGACTTGACTGAAGAAAAAAACCATACATTTAGTATTACAGCTAGGAAGGTTAAACAAAATGCAAATTGTTTCTAAGTTATTTGGAAATATTCAAAGCTGGAGGGAAGAATGGATGAAAAAGACAAAATTTGGGAAACTGGAGGAAAAATTACTAAGATATAAACACGAGTTTTCTTTTATGATTTTTAAGAGACTAGAGGGAAAACAGCCATTACAAAATCCAGCACACTCATTAGAATATTTACTCAGGAGTAATGAATATCCTAGAAATTACCGCAGCTTTCTAAAATATCATAGACGTAGTAGAGGCTGTGGTTTAAAAACTGTTCTCCAGAAAGACCAGTGATGGGAAGATGCTAACAGGTGGCAGTGTAGTAGATTCAGGAAGTAAAATTCACATCCTTTAACCACTTTTTTATCCTATCCAAGTGTGCAGACAGCATTACCAAACATAAAAGATGTTTTACACCCAGTTGTGCAACAGACACAACAGAGTACAAAGCCATGCAGGCTCAGGACCTGTTCTGTTACAAAATTGTCCATCCATTATCGCATACAAGAGAACTGCAGTGAAAATAAAAAAGGTAAATAGATAGAAGTCTTTTGAAGCAAGAGGATGCTATAGCACCAGCTGTCCAAAAAAGCCGTGTAGGAAATTACTTCATTTTAAGTAGTATGGATTAAAATATGATGTGAAGTGTGTTAGAGTGACCACAAAACAGCTTTGGCTGTTTTTGGCTCCTGAGTTGCAGTGATAAATACTGCTAAGTGCTTGTCTAATTCTTCCCACTTTTCATCATAAAACTGTCTTTCATGATGTGACCTGGTTTGCACAGGACACATTTTTGTAAGGTGTTTTCTGTTAAAGTAGGTTGAACTTGTCTCTGTAACCAGAGTCCTCTGACTCTCCTTTCCGAAAATGCTTGAAGTGGTCATTAGAAAAAAGCAAGTTGTTGCTTCTGTTGTACTGTAGTAATATAGTCATGGCAACCTGTATGTAGGAATAAAATAAAACAATACAGTAATTGCATAGAATAAAATAAAATAATAAAAAGCAGTGCATCAGCCTACTTAAAAATACATTTTGGTAAAAAAGTCTCAAGAAAAAATTGAAGTCATGTAATTTCACCTCCTGTATAGTCAGACTGCATTTCAAACCTTGAAAATGTAGAACAGTCACTCAAAAAAATATTTCTCACACATTAGGCTCATGAGAAAACTATGAGAATGTCAAATTTCCAGAAGAAGAGCTGTGAATCACAGTCTGTAAAAGACCAGATAGCAGAGACTGTGGAGAGCACTTTTGCTTGGGATTTGCTGTGAAGATGGCCATGCTCATAGACTAGTTCCTTAAAGAAACTCAAAGTTTCTATTTTCTCAAGGGCTGTTTCTTCTTCTCTCTTGGTTCTTTTATTGTGACATTCTGATTCATCTCAATTGTCTTTCATTTACCTAGCAGAGAGAGAAAAGGCAAGTCAGGCTTTCTAAATTATCCGTCAGGGAGACGGAAATGAATAGGCAGACTGTCAGAATTGGGAATAGAGTTTTTCACTCATTTCAAGTTCAACTGCCAAAACATGGGACCAGTGCTGATGTTAATATGTTAGCTGCAAGTTTAGGAAAAGAATCAAAAGATTTAAGTCTAGATTTGGAGCTATGTTAAAATTGACTTGGCACTAGAGGAAGGTTGGATCAGAATAGACAACTGTCAAAGTGCTCCCTCAGTTTAAATGATGGCAGCTGAATGGCTATGGTGACACATGACACCAGGGTATTGCTTCCAAGAGATTGTTTCCCAGCAAGAACTGATATATCTAGAAAAGCACTCCCTGAGGTCAAGTAAGCTGGATAAACTGTGCTGTAGCAGGCAAGATGTGGTCCTGTTTGGTAACTGGCAATGGACTGGGCAGCAGGCCATACAGGAATTGCTACTGCTGGGTAAGTTCTTGAGGGGTTATGGTGATGAACACAACAGGGGCAGGAGTATGGTTGAGTTTGAGCAAATTTTTAATTTATCTGAACACTCAGTTTTGATTTAGCTATCCTGGAGCAAGCGCCAGCCGTGAAAACCAAACAATGCAGCTAAGAAGGAGAGAAGTCACTCTAGGAATAGGATAGGAATTAAAGAAAAAAAGAAAACAAAGGCTGTGCAAGATATAGAATGAAAATTAAAGAAAGAGATAATTGCGATTTACAAGCTGTGGGCCAGAACAGAGTAGAAAAATTGCCAATTAACTGTATTTATATTTAACTCTATACTTCTGAGTTATTATTTGTGGTTTATGCTTTCTGATTGTGGTACAATTATGTCATCAAATATTAGTGCATTAAAGTAATCTTTGCTTCTGAGATGGACTGTCAGTGTTTCAGCAAGCCAGCCAGGCTGCTTCCAATGCCTGCACTTTATCAGAATGCTTCAGGAGAGACAGTTTCTCTTAAACTGTCTGTATTTCACACCCTCTTAAATCATCAGGACACTGGCTTTTCTGTCTGCCTTGTTCCCCAGCTACAATCCATCTGGCAAAGGGATACTCGGTGGCAGGCATATGAGGGAGTTATCTGCAGTGAATGGAAAAATGTTTTACAACGAGTTTTTGACGTTTGTAGACAATTCAAAGTTCCTCCCACTTTGAGTATGAATGAAGGGAGGGAAAAAAGAGGTCAGTGTCATGGGTCTGAAATGATTCGTTGGTTCACTACCAGCAATTGCATGTGGAAACTGTTCCCCACAGTTTCCTGCTGGGAGAACGCTTGTTGTCATTTTACTTTACTTTTTACTCCACTTCAAAAGTGGAGCTTTTCCATCGCTGTGTGTCACTGTTGGATGTTGAATGTGGAAGGGTGTTAACTGGGGTACAGTCAAAAGCACCCAGGAGAAAGAAGTGCCTGGTCTTAATCTGGTGAAGTTTGTCCATTTATTTATCTGGCTTGGGATTCAAGCAGAAACAATATTGCAACACTCCATGATTAATTGCAAGTATGCTGGGGATAATAATAATATTTACGTAAGACTTTTACTTACACTCTGCACGTTAAAGGTCTTGTGTAGGCCTTATTTTCATCCTCTTCCTGAGAATGCCACCCCACCTGGTACTTCTAGCCTAAGTGTCTCAGGCAAGTAGAGCAAAAGATTTGTAAAGATGCCCAAGTGCTCTGGGTTGCCTTTCTTGTGCATCTGCAGACAATCTTTTGCATGATGATCAAATAAGTCTTTGTACATACCAAATCCAGGCACATTTGAGCAAACTGGGATTACCAGCTATAGTCTTTCTGATAGCAGACCCACCATGAAAGACCAGGTGTGATGCATATTTTATTAAGATATGTAAAGACTGGCATGTGAAACTCTTTAAGTCAAGTAATTGAAACCTGAATAGATGGCTGGGAGAAAGCACTGGATACATGTTATTGAAGGACAGAAATTTACTAGAAATTTGTGTTATTAAGTGATGAAGAATGTATTTAAAACAAAAAATGTATTTGATGAAATGTATTTGATTCTAAGTCCAGGTAATTGGATTAAGGTTGACAGTGATAAGACAAATTCCCTTGTTTGCAGGACTGGAAAATTTTTTTGAACAATGTGTCTGGTATTAGGGAAGATGTGTGTCAGACACAGGTTTAAGGTACAGAAATGTGATTCTTCAAAGAAAACAGACTTATTTCCTTACTCTTGCATTAGCAATTGCTTTAATTCATATTTTAAATTTCTTCTTTTACTTCTGCTTGATTTTCACGGTAATATTAATTATGAAAATAATTCCTTCTTCTACAGTATTGCAGTTGGTATAATGAGGTGTGATCTGGAAAGACTCTTGGAATGCAGGACACGCCACTCACCTCCTCTATGAACATGTTGGTGGTCTCCAGAGAGAATAAATGAGAAAAAAAGTAGCTACTTCCACTTGCTGCTCATAGAGGCCAGATGGCCAGATGTCTCAGCCACCGTTTGCAGTGGACAGTTAATTTGAGTCAGTGACATACTGTGCTTGTTCTGGGTAGGATTTAATACCTTGTTTCTGTAGGGAAAAAGAACCTGTGACCCAATCTTTTCTGTGCATGCCAGCTTCCAATAGAGGAAGAACTATGGATGGGCAATGATGTGCTTTAGTAACCTAAGCACAAACCAGAAAAGAAATAATGATTTTGGGCAGTGACTTACAGAATCTATGTGAAGGCATGTCCACATAATCAAGAGGCCCTTGAGCTAAGAGAAACCTCTCGCCTACTGTAAACCATGGCTGTGCTGCTTTCCAGCTGGTTACATTCAAACAGTGACTCTCCCCACACTTAACTCATGGGTCTAAAAGCACAGTTTACTTAATGCATAACAATGAAGTGAATCTCATTGTTTTATTTTTGAATTGTGCTTGGCCTCCTTCACAATTTATGTCTTTTCTGTACAAAGACAGGGTGGGATCCAGCTGCTCCATGGACAAACTGTTGCATGGCTGGTAGCACAAACCACCCTAGGCTGTACTAGTAAAGAAAATTTCTGACTTGGTTCTCCCTGGTTATCCCGGCAGGCTGTGTATTTAATTGTTTCAATGAGTTTAAGATTCTTAAATATTTACTTGGCTTTTTGCTTTCTTATTAGAAAATGGTAAGGCAGTTTGTTTCTAATATCTGCCAGGATCATGTCAGCTTGTGAGGTTACCTTTCCTTAAATTACTAAGCACAGTCTTTACAGAGATGTGAAAGAGGTCACTCTTCTGTAAGGCTGAGCCAGAATCTCAGATCAAACAACACCGTGGTGTTGTTGAAGCTACAGAACCATCCCAAGGTTATATTTTCAAAGTGACTTTTAGCAGTTATACTCTTAAATCCTATTAAAAATTAGCATCTCTGTTAAACTCTTATATTTCTGTGGTATTTTGGAATATCAGGCAAGGGAGCTGCCTCCTTCCTGTGTGAAGGACAGGGCCAGGCAGAGGCTAACAGCAGTGAACAGGAAGAAGATGGCCAGCACCATCACAGCAGAAATCCTGCCCCCTGAAAGAAGATAGCTGCTTCTGGAAAAGGAATATGGTGTTGTGAGTCCCCAGGAAGACGAGGAGCCCAGAACCAGCTGGAAAGAAAGGGCAGGGATGATGGTAAGGTGGGATGGTAACTGAAACTGGAGGAAAGTGGGAGTGGCGAATGGCAAAAGTTTCCAAACTGAATGGTGAAAAAGTGGAGCACGTGAAATTAAGTTGCTTCCTGGGCAGAAGAAAACATTGGATGATCTATCTGCACTGTTTGAGCAGTATGAGACTAGCTGTCAGTCTTTTACTGCAAGAGGTCTGAAGATTACAAGTTGACAAAACATTAATGCTAGTTTTATTTTGTGCACTTAGAAGATTTTAAATATATATATATTTATATAAATGCAAAGATACAATGCATATATCTGTTTGCCAAATGTTTATGCTTCAGCATAATAGTCAAACTATTGAAACCTTAATCTCCTTGACCCCACTAATTGAAAAATGTTTAAGCTATGATTTTGAGTCTTTGTTCATTATATTAATGTCAAATGCTTCCTCAGTAATCACATAACTATGGGGGAAATGTGGGAATTCAAACATATGAGGTTCAATGAGTCCTGTGAAGAAAATAAAATATTTTCTCTGGTGCAGATGTGATAAAATATTAAAAAGCACATCACAGCACATGCAAAATGATTATGTTCTTTATTTACAGCTAGGTTAGTCTCGGCAAACAGAAATTAATACCTTACTGAGAGCAGACCAAGACTCGGATCAGATTCATCAGTATGCTCTGGCTCCTCTGTGCTCCGTCAGAGTGTACAGCTGCTTCGTGTTGTTCAAGCAACAGAAAGCAGCCAGGAGTTACAAGAGAAACGGGGCCCACGTGGACTTTTTATTGCTATTATCTTTAAAGGTAAAATAAAAAAAAAACCCAACCCAAAACATTGTCATGCATCACAAAGCTGACACCTGTCAATGACAGACTGACTTTTTGGAGGCTGCTACGGTTATTTTAAACCAAGCTACTCTTGAGTGTAATTGCTGTAACAAGTGTCCAGCCACAGGCCATACCCAGGGCTGTCATTCACCATCTCTCTGCAAGCAGCCCGTGGCACACGAAGCCTGATGTTCAGCCAGCAAATGAGCAGTTTGATCCCTGGATTTGGTAAGTTAATTCTGGGCCAGAGTCCCTGCTGTTATTCTACCCTTTCTGTGCTGAACGAGGGAGTTCCCCTGGCACAGGGCAATTCACGTATTACATCTAAGTGCTGTGCTAGTCCCTGAAATGCTGATTTAATGGGTACTGAAACCGTGGCTGGGAATGGGTTAGCTGCTCTGAGAGTACTGATCTCTCTGATGTGCTGAGGCAAAAGTGGGACCTCAGTCACAGCTTCCATCTCCTGCATCCCACATGCATGCTCTAAATGCAATTTTTGATTATTTGCAGCTGATTATATAAATTTAAACCTGTGGAAATATTATAATTTATGTTACTGCCCTCGCTGCTCAGGTTTTCTCTCAGAAATCATTATTGTCTCACCTGCCAGTGGAGATGTTAGTGTGTTTGCTCAAACTTGCTCAAATTCAAATGACTTTGCTTGCATACATACTGTGTTTTGACTGCTTAAAGCAACCTAACTCATTTTGACTAAAACAAATTATGGACTGATTGCCTCAGAGAGGTCGGCCAGCAGATGTGACTGAAAAGTGTCTTCCAACTGAGGGAAGTCGGGAGCTTTAGTCCCTTTAACTGGCACGCTGGCCAGAAGATAGAAGACAGTGTGTGTTCTCTGGCTGGGCAAGCCTTCTGGGGCACAGACTGTCATCTGGTCCTCTGCACCGTGCCAGCCGCCAGCCTCTGCTCCGACAGAAGTAAAGGCAAACAATGCGGTTCCAATCATCAAGCAAAAATCTGCCTGTGATTATTTCTTACTTTGTTGGCCATTTGATATTAACTTGCCTCCACACACAGAACATTGTAAAAACACACTGAAAAAATGCAGCAACTGGGGCAAGGGAGCTGCAAAGCAAATCCTCAGAACAGGAATTTTAATTTAATCAGAGTCATAGTGTCATCTCCTGTAGCAGATTACCCCATTATGAGTTTAAGAGATTTTAGAAAAAAATTTTTTCGAGTTAGTTGAATCTTTTTGTTTAGTTCTTAGATTTACAAGGAGAAGTATGTGTTTAAGAGCCCCACTTTTTCTGTACCTGTTCCTAAGTTCATAAACTCAATATTATAATGGACATAGTATGAGTTAAAACCTATGATGAGAACCTATCATGGACATTTAAGAAGCGATCAGACTGTAAAACTGCCAAATAGAGAAAATCTGATTCTCTCTCTTGTAATTGGCACTAGGATAACAAGGATACTGATATGGGTTGGTATTTTTATAGGCAAGCAGACAAGAATGCTAAATCTCTTATTTTATTTTTGGTTTTCTTCTCACTGATTAGTGAAAATGGAGGGTGAGATATTACCTAGTGGGGCTTCAGATCTGACCAGTAATTGAGACAAATTCCAGACATGAAAAGGCTGCCTGATGTTTAGAAATCATTAAAGGCTGAAAAAAGCTCTCTGCGAGGGAGCTGGAATAAAACAGTTCTTTGGAAAATAAACAAAAGCATTGGAAATTGCTTTCAGAAGTTCTGCTAGAAGGTTGATTGTGCAACTGCCACTTCTGTAAACATTTAAGTTGTCTGAATGAGTGTGTTAAGCATGGCAAACAGGCAGCAAAGGGCAACTGATCTTGCTTCCAGCTGTGCACTGATCAGTGACTTATTAATTGGCTTTATAAAATTTAAATTTGGGGCTTGTTTTTAACTAAGCAGAATGGAGTCATTGCTGGTATTACTACATAATGAACAAAGATTGCCTTTAGTTGTATAGAATTTGTGAGTGGTTATGTTGGTATTTTATGATTCATTCTTCTAGCACCAGTGTATTCAGAAAGTCATGCCTAACAGGGGTCCACTTTTTTTGCTATTTGCGGTCTGTTTTCTTTTGTTTTTCTGTAGTTTAGCTGGGGGTGGGTGGGGTGGGAGAATCAGGTTTCACACCAAGCCCTGGTGAAAATGAGTTGACAATGTATTTATTCTTTGATACATTTCAGAGAAACATCAATAGGAGCATTTTAGTCTGGGAGAGAACCTTATCAGAGCTTCTGCAAAGCAGAAGTGTTACAATTCTTAAGGGAGTCGTTTAAACGGGTGCATTAGTCTCTTTTAGAAACAGAAAACACTTGATATACTGCAGCAGCTAAGGTTGCTGAGACCTTCCTGCCTCTTTCCTGCTGCAGGTTTTTCCTTAGTTCCTTCGTGTACTAACAATACCCACTGCCTTTTGGTAGGTGCAATTGAACTGGGAGAGCTAGAAATGCAGGTGTATGGGTTGAATGGAGGAGCTGGTAACTTGTGATGGCAAAGTGGGCTATCTGGCTGGTGGCCACTTGGCTTCTACACCATCAGGTGCAGTGTGGTGCCTGTTTGTGGAGCATGGGGTGCTGCAGCAAGATGAACTGTTCTGCTTCTCTGCTTCCTGATGGTATTACCTGGGAAAGGGCTGAGACAGTACGGATCAATACACGTGCCAGCTGCTGCCTCTCTGTCGCCGTGTAAGACTGAGTCTCACTGTTCAGCTCATAGAGTGTTAATTCTTATTCCTCTGGAAAGACTGTTCTTCTGGGATCAGGAGAGAAAATGCTGCTAATAAGTATTTTTCTTTAGCTTTCCCTCTTCTCTTGTATTACCTTCTTTAAAGTGTTACAGTTTATCCAGGGCCTCTTTATAACTCATTTCTACAACAGGAGAAGTAAATCTCTCCAAAGTTCATCTACAAGTAGAAACTCATACAAGTAGATATTTGAGATATATTCTTGCCTGTTGTGAAACTGCAGTTTAATGGAAACAAAGGAACTCTGCAGAACAGCCAGCTACTAGTAGCTATGGGCAGTTTATGCTGTAGGCACTGGGAAAGTCAGTCGTTGCCAAAAGCAATGATTTGCCTGGGAAGGCAAAATGATCACATGCATGGATTCAAATATCTGAAATTCATCCTACTAAATTATAAACTTCAGCAGTTGAAGAAGTTCATGAATATGAATTTAAAATCATACAATAAGTGGAAATACGGTATAACACTGGTCTCTGAAGATAGTGCAGACTGTTGAATATGTTTTCCTTCTTTGGAGCTTGTATTATTAGCTTGTTTTTATCTGGATGTCATGATGATTGACAGGTGGAGTGAATGTAGCCAAAATATTTCCATAGTTACTAGATTACAATGAATTCTGTTCATCACCTCCACATTAACTTTGGGCTTGATTCTCACAAACTTTCGTCTCTTGCAGTTTCCTGAGAAAAATGTTTCCAGACAATGGATTCCAAACACATTTCTATAATTCGTCTGAAAGTGCCCATGCACTTTTTCCCTGGGTATCCAGACAGCATTGCACCTGCGTCCCCTGCTCAGGGCCAGCCTGGCAGAGAGGAACAGGAGGCTGAGAGTTGAAAAAAGACCTGGAAGCCAGACTGGATAATCAGCTGGGCACGGTAATGTAATGCCGATTTACAATGGGAAAGAAATGTGATAGATCTCTCTAGTCTGTAAAGCAAAGACAGGAGAGTAGAATTGTACAGCAGCAGTGCTCTCTGGCTTTACAGTCCTGAACCTGTGAAGCTGTGTGAAGTTCAGGATGCTGTGATCAACACATATTGTAAAGATCTAAAATATAACTAAACCAAAATATATTTGATGCCATCACATCATGAGAAGAGAAAAGAGCTAAACTGGGGAGTACCTCCAGGCATTAATGGTGCGTTAATGGTGCATTAATGCTCACCTCTTGTCTTACTTGCAGGGATTCAGTCTGTCATCTCTGCTTTGTATGCTTATTTCCATGTTTTTAAAACAGAGCCTAAAAAAAGTTCCAAATTGCTAAATTTTTCAAAAATGTGTTTTAGAGACACTTATTACGTATTTTCATTTATCCTCCCATTTTTCATCTATGCTTTGATAAGCAAAGCTAACACTTAAAAATGCCAATGGCCAATCTCATTTCCTTGAAAATCAATACCACAAACCCCATTACAATAATGTAAATTCAGGGTCGGTATTTTCATTTCTATAAACTCCAAAAGGGTTTCTATGTTTAAGCTAAGTCATTAAAATGGTAGGACTCAAAGTTTTTATTTCTTCTGGTACCACCAAGCTCTGTTCAGGTCAGTAAAAAACAGGTTACATGTTTGTACCTAAATGTCAACATATTTCCACTTCTTCCCACAGGTCTTTGTCTCTTTCCTCTGAAACTCCCTGCTGAAGTAGATTTTACTTCATACAGACAGAATAAATGAAAGCATCTGATATACTGTTACAGTAATTGTCTGTGTATATATATTTATATTTAAAATATTTTAAGAGGAAGAAAGCCTAGCAATTCTTTCATTAGCTCAAATGGTGTCATTTGTTCTTTCAGAGGCAGTTGGCACCATTCAGTCTCTGAATGGCTGAATCCCTTGGTAACAGGCAAAGGGTATCCTCATCAGTGAGTGCTTTGGTGAGAGTCTGACTCAAATTCACTTGCCAAAGGCAAACCAGGCTGTTCTTATAGAAAATGTTTGTCAGACTTGGAGCTGGTCCTGGAGAGGGTTTCACTGACAGCCCAGGTGAAATTGGATTGAAGAAAAGGAGATTTTGACTGCACCAGAAAAGGGCACCAGGGTAAAGGTTGCAGTGAGAGGAGGAAAATAAAGCTCTTTGTCTTCAGCTCACCCTCAGACCTCTGTAGGTCTAACTTGCAAGCTGTCTGCTGGCAAGCAGCTGCCCCTATCCTGAACTACCTGGGCCATCTCTACAAATCACGCAAACACACCTCCCGACATATTCTAAATGTACAGCTGCAACAAACAATTGGTAATTTTGAATATGGTGGAAATAATGGATTTAGGATGCCTTACAGAAAAGCTTTGCTTCATTTAAAAATAAAAGCTCCTCAAAGTTCATATTTGCTATCCTCTACTACATCTCTTTCACTCGATTGTATAAATCCTGCTGCTTGTCTCGGGGCAAGAAAGCATTAAGATTCCACATCACAGCATGTAGCACACAGTATATTCACATAATCATAGTTGTATATGAGGATGCTATCCCAGGTTAATTTAGCATTCTGATAACGTCCAATGTCCGTTACATTTTGATTACTTTTTATTTTTTTACATCTTTTCTTTTTGAGATTCTTTTAAATAAATTCATGTAAGTAATCAGGAAATCAAATACACTGAATTATTTCGCTCAATGCATTAAAATGTTTTAGTCTGGATACATTTATTAATCACTGTTAGTCCCTATGAAATACTTGACAATCTTAGCAAATAATGATGTATTATGCAAGTAACTGAAGCTGAAGTAAAAAAAGTTGTTTGGTTTTGTGACAGTTTTACCAACAGATAATTCATTGTTGACATCATAAATAAGGGGAAATTGTTATTGTTTTATGTTAAAAGGATGCTGAAGCAGTTCTGCTATAGCTGTGTCCTTCATAGCCACATCTATCTCCTTTTCTATCTTACCATCCAATTACTATGTAGTAGTTGTAATAAAAAGAGAAATAGAATATCATCTATTGTACCCTGTCACAGTATTCTTCAGCTTCTGCTGGGAAGAAAATGAAATGGGGAAATATTAAAGCATAGTAGTATTTTTATTCTACAAGTAGTTTAGTGGGACTGTTCTTGCTCTCTGGCTCCCGTTTTGCAACAAGGTCAAGAAAACCTCTGTTGTGTTCTCAGTTCTAAATGCAAGTCTCTCTTCTACCCACCTTCTCTCCTCTACTCACCTTCTCCCAGTTGTGACTGCAAAACTTGTACATGGATTTTTACAAATGCACACTAAGAAGAGCAGTATTTAGAGAGTCTTTAATAATTTTTTCCAATATTTTTCAGCCTTGCCATTCCTCTTGGTGCAGATGACCTGTGCTACGGCTGTCAAAATGGGACTAGGCTTAGCTGCAGAATCCAAAGAGAAGTCAAAGGAGGGGGACTGGGTATGTAAAGTCTTTTTTTATATCGGGGTACTCTTACTGCCGTGAGGTTAGTATGGTTTTTCTCAGGTAGAGCATGAGAAGTCTGTGGAAGCTGTTATTTTTGTGAGGCAACCTATGAATTATTTTATTTTCTTTCTGAGGAAAATTCTTTAACTTTATAATACTATCCTTAGTTTACAGTAGCAGATGGTGAGGAAAAGAAATATTGCAGTTCTTAGCATGCCAAGCTAAGGTTGGTCTTGGGTCTGCTCAGCTCACCTTATCTCAAAAGCAGCTGAGAAGTGGCAATCAGGGAAAGAAATCATTAATATGTGCACTTTAAAACAGTTTTATGTCACAACTACTAGGGATCACCCCAGCAGAATAGTCAGAAAAGATTGCCAGTATAAAAAATACTCTTACATAGATGCTGACACCAAAACACACAGAAAAACATGGACTCCTACATAAAACTTTACTCAGGACTTTCTTTGAGGCCCAAGTTCCCTCTAAACAGCATCTTTGCTTTTTACAACAGGAAGGCAATTAGTTGCCAATACAGCAAAGCTTCATTTATCCATGGAGTCTGTAAAACCTCTTGATTTTCTGTGTCTCACTGACACCCACTTCACCTGCTCAAATTGAATGGCTTTGTCTGAAGGAGCAGGGAGAGAAGGAAATGCTCCACAGACCAGGAGAAGAGGTGGAAAGATGGTCTCTGGGTAGATCTAAACACTGGCGACTCCTTACAAGAAAGACAGAGCATGAAGGGAATCAGCATAAAATTAAAAGAAAAAAAAAAAAAACAGGCAAGAAAGAAAACTGTGAGGACTTTATATTTCTCTTACAAATGCTCCTACAGAATGAGAACTTATAAAAAAGCGAAGCATTTGTGGCAGGCACTGCTTTTTACTATCTATCCAGGTCCAGATCCCGAACTCATGAAGACTAGGTGTGTCCCAGAGACACACTGTCTCTTGGGCTCAGCAAGAACATTAGAATGGGCTAAAACATACCTGGAATACCACTGGTCCCCTGAATCTGCTTCTGGGACATTTTCTGGTCACATATGGTACAGTTGCTCACGGAGAGTGTTCAGTGGTGCTAAATCTGGGGAGGAATAAATCTGCACTGATAAAGTGTAATTCACCTTGAACACATGGAGCTTTTTCAACACGTCATGATTTCTCTTTTTAGGTACAAGATTAGAAACTACAACTGGTAAATTAGGTTAGTCAAAATATACAAGAGAGAAGGAAGGACAAAAGAAGCCAGTCTTTTGTTTTAGACTGTGTTCTTTTTTTCCCCATTTCATACACATTTATTATTATTTTACAAATCCTGCAATATATTCTTAATGGCTTACTAAAAAGGCTAGAGAAACTTGTCCTATTTTGGAGGTATGATATATATTCAGGGAGAACACAAAAATCTTATTCTGCTGCTTTTCAACAGATTCTTGCTGCTGAGCTCCCCTGCTGTATCTCACAAGGAGACTTTTCAAATGAATTCACTCAGATTTCCCTATAATCAAGAGAACAGCATGGTATTTATTTCATGCTAATCATTTCTCTGAATTGCACATGGAGCTAATTTATTTGCAGGAAATGATATGTCCTTAAAGCCTTTTTGAATACAGGCAATGTTGAGAAAAGATTAACTAGGTTTGTGGCAAGAGAAAATTCTGTAAATACCTTGTGAAAGTACACAGTGAGGAAGGTATTTCTTGTGTAGTTTAAAATATTTGTAAACTGTTAATCTTTCTTATATTTCTCTTGAGTGGGTCTGTTTATATTCATGGACTTCTAAAAATATGTTGTACCATTTCAGTACATTTGAAGCTACAGGAAGAAATTTGCTTTAGGGGGTATTGCAATCTATATAAATTGCTATCAGTATGGAATGGTCTTCTATTATTATACTATAACTGTACTGTAGTCAAAGCTGCTTTTTCCTCCCTCTTAACTTGGGCTTGCTATCTGTTGAAATCAAAGTAGAATACTGGCCTTTATGCTTGCTGCTTCGCATCAGGCTTAACAGTAGTTTCCTGGAATAAAATGAGCTCTTCCCAGTTGGGTGAAAGCATTGCTGCTAGGAATAATTTTTATGGTGAATTTTGCATACAGAGGTAAGTCACTGAGATGAGGGAAACTAATTTAGTGTCTGTGCCTTGGGTCCCATGTCAAGATGGACTCTAAGGGCTCAGTCTCAGCTGTAGCTGCGTCTGTTGGGCAGTGGGAAACGGGTACTGCTGGAGTGTGGTTTTTCATTCTTGACGCAGATGTCTTTCCACTTGTGGAGCATTTTGAGCTGTATTGCTGTGAAGAGAATGTGGCCATGGATGCTGTACAAGGTGTTGAAGGTTGGGCTCTGAGTCTTGCCTCAAGCAGTGGCTGCTGTCCTGCCTCTCCACAAGATCCATGTCATAGCAGTCCACAATGTGCAAGCATCTGCTTGCGCAGCTAGCACTTTTAGATGAAAATGTTTGGATCTGCATCAAAAATAACATCTCCTCTGCCCAAATCAGTAGGGTTTTTCCTAACTCAATGGGGAGTGTAGTAAGGTTGTGACAGGCAACAATATGGCAGAAGTGCAATCAGAGATGCTAGATCTGAATTTGCCAAAAAGAATGGAGGGTCTCCCAAAATGTCTTCTTATCCTCCTGGAAAGAGGAAAAATATTATGCCACTTCTATTGCTTGTTGATATATTCCTTTTCACAACCTGCTGACCTTACTACTTTTATGGTTTTGGTCCTATTATCTTATTTACTGTTATCTTGAAAGTAAGACAATAAGTTTGGGGGGGGTTTGTAAAGAATAGTTATCTGTGCTGGAGTGTTTCTAACTCCTAGTGAAAAGCAGAATAATAATAATTAATTGAATTAACTTTATGATATCCGCAAATAAACAATTATGCTCTGTGTTCCTAGGAAGCATTAAAAAATCCAACAGGGCCTTGCAAATTCTGGCTTCAGGCTCAGATTGTAAGCTGAAGTATTTTTGTTTGTAGTCTTTCCAACTAAAACACAGCCTGCAACTTTCATTGCTGTTAGCAGCTGTTGCACTTTTTAGCATGTGCTCAAACATTTCAGAAGAAAAAGAATTTGTGAAATTCTGCCACGAAAGATGAGACATTAGAAAATGAGCAAGTAACTCCAATGGGGATGGAGGTGAAAGACATTATACAACTTTAATTATGGCTCCTTCAGCAACTGACTACTAAAATATTAATATTAAAACATAAACATAAGCTTCACAGATTTAGCCATTGTGTTCTGTTTGCTTGCTGTTTATGGTTTCTGGCCTGCTGTGAGGCAGCATGGTGGCAGCATATTGCTTTGAGGGAAAAAAAAAATATTTTGTTTAACCTGGTATCAGACAGTGGCTGAAGATGTATTCTGCTTCCACCTGCTGCAAACTTTTCAGTGTGGACAGGTGCCATTTCAAATGACAGCTGTTGTCCTAGCTGTCAAAAGAATATTTAAAATGATGAATTTTGGTGCATAACAAGAATTACATAAGCTAACACAAAATCACACAGATCTTTAAATCAGCCATCAATTAACACACACATGGTCCTCTTTGTTAGATGACTTGTTCCATGAAACAGAGAGAAATCATCCATTTCATGAATTATAACATCACTGCTGTATGATCTCTCTTTCTAATGCTTTTTGTGAAGTCTCCTATTCAACTTTTTCCTCAATCTATTCTGATTTTTGTAGCCCAGATAAGTCAGATTTGGCTTTCTGGGGTATGAAGTAAGCCATTGTTCAGATGCTGGATCTATGTCTTAGACTTTAATTTCCCTAGCTTTCACAGGTTTATTTTGTGTTGTTACTATACTGTTGTCAGAAATACATAGGTATTAAATTGAAGCTTCACAAAATCTTCAGGAGAGCATGCTAGATGGATTTCAAATCATTCTGAGGTTCCCTCTTTATCAGTTTTTTATATCCCTCAATTTGGCTTCAGTCCAGAGCAGCACTCAAGCAAGTGCTTAACTCTGAGAATGTGTTTAAATCCAGGGTTCTCTTCACTGGAAACATAGGCTCACGCTAAGTGCTTTGCAAAGCAAGAAATTTTGCCAGCTTTCCACAGGGTGTCCCCCATATTTTATCCATGTGCTTGACTGTTACTTTTGGTTAAGGATTTCTGCACTTCTAGAAGAAATCCAAAAATAAGTCTATAATTAGACTGCATGAATTCAAACCTGTTTTCCTATCTTTACTCATGACTTTTAACTGGCTTTTATTCCTGTAAACTGAATAAATGTATCTGAAATAGAACCTTCATGAACCTGAATATTTTTCATCTACTTTTAAAAATGGGATCTCTATTTAAGGAGTCTTGGCAGTGATACTTTCCCAAGGGATGCTGTCTTCCTGAGAGTAATTGATCATCACTGAATCTCATGGGACTGTGCAGACAATTTCTGCATAATTGCAATTTATTCACATAAAATTTACATGTGACAGTTGACTGTAGGTACACATTCTCTTCATCACTGTTAACAGTTGAGCTGGGAGAAACGAAGGTTCAAAAAGAGATATGGAATATTACATAGTCTCAATTCTTGCTGTCTCTGGAACCCTATCTTAAACTTAGTTTTAAATCCTCAGTTAGGAGAATTTTCTATCCAAAGGAAGTTCAATGGATTCAGAACTCAGAACTTAATGTAATAAATCAGAAAGTTTCTTTTTTGCATTAGCAACATTCTAGCTGCCAAAAAGGGGGAAAGACAGCAGTCTTTTAATTATTTTCTCTCAATAAGATATGGTAGAAAACAAAATGTCTCTTTTATGTATTTAAAGATAATCCAATGTTCTGATTAATATTTTTATTTCTTTAATGATTTCTGGCAGGACTTAGTTGGAAGCCCTGAAAAACTAGACATTTCAAAAATTATTTTGCTGATACATACTGTATCTTTTGTCTTGGTATGTTTGTTGTTAAATTTCTAAAGCTGTGTAGATGGTTGTCAGA